TTTCCAAGCAGACTCACACTCGCTCCAGTGTCCAACAACCACGTCAGTTGCTTGGTCAGGACTCGGACTGCGGCGAACGGTCTGGGATCTCGCGATAAACTGCGCTTCACGGCGGCCACTGCTTCGCGTCGGCAGTTCCGACGTTTGCGAAATCGGTCCCTGGCCTTTTGCACCTTGCGAGACACCATACGCATCCCGCCTAACTGGTGCTCTGAGAAGATCCTGTTCCTGATATCTAGGTACCGTCGCATCCTCTCCGCATAAGGTAAGTATTGTAAATTAGACTTATTGCTATTCTTATAAGGTAAACATTTATTTAACTCTACCAACTCTTCTTCTCTGCGGAACTCCTGTCTGGACGCATCCTCTCCGTCCTCGGATCGCCCAGCCGACCGTTTTCCGCACAATCCGGACATTTGGGAGACACGGTGTCGGGCTTCCCACATCGGTAGCAGAACAGTCTGCGTTCTGTTGCTGCGCAGTCACGGAACCCGTGATCCACGGCTCCGCAATTCCAGCAGCCGGCTCGGCACGGATTCTTCGCCCGCACTTCGTCCACCTCGTGCCACGGAGGATCCTCACCAGGATCTGGGCCAATAGCCTCGCTAACCTTGGCCTTCTCCGCCGGAGGATACCGCATCGGCTGCGTGTACGTGGTCCGTCCACGTCGTCCAAAACTGCGTTCCACCTCGCAGCACTCTTCCCGCAGTTCATCCACCGTAAGCACATCCATCGCGTAGACAAACCTTGCGATGCTCTCCCTCAAGCCCTTTTTGATTATCTTAACCAACTGTCGCTCTGACAGTGACCTTTTCAGACGGGCCGCTAACTGCTGCATCGCGTGGACGTAATCGTCAACTCCTTCTCCGAGCTGCTGCTCCCTCTGCAGAAGTTGGTGCATCCGGTCGTGCTCCGTCTGGTGGCATCGGAACCTATCCATCAGCGAGGCTCGAAGCTGGGACCACCTGTCCACCCTGCAGTGACGCACGTGCACCCAGTACCACTCCCGAGCCCGTCCAGTAAGCAGCAGGTGGAAGTTTCGGATCACCTCTTGCCACGGGCATTGGCACTGCCGCTGCAGGAACTCCAACCTGAAGAGAAAATCTTCCACCGAGTTTCGCTCATCCTCCCTGTCGAAGGATACGCCCCACCGCTCAATTCGCCATTGCTAGTTGGCGGCTGCCGGCCCCACATTGACATATAGGAGCTGCTTCTCGCTGAACTCTGAGGCCCTGCGGTCCTCAACGCACCAGCCGGGCCGGGCCATCGTCTCGGCGCGACCTTCCATGATCCGGAGGATACCCGGGACTGCTACTTTCCAACTCCTGGAAATCTAGCGGCACCCTCGGCGGAGGTAGCCTGGAACCGTCCATGCCGGCGACCTGTGTGCTCTTGGGCACCGCACCTTGCGGGGCTTGACCACGGATTCCTGCGGTGATCCTTGAATCCGGACGCCTTCGCTCATCCGGCATGCTCTCCAGGGGAAACTGAGCTCCATCATTTCCAGGAAGCCACTTCGGATCTCGTCCCTCAGTTCCTGATTGATCCCGCCTTCTTGGGCCTTCCGATGGGTCTCCGCCGCCTGCGCCAAAGCCACATTAACGGCCGACCTTGCCGCGGAATCCATAAAAGGATCGTGGAGTCTTGCGTCCTTATCGTCCAGCTGCAACAACTCATCCGCCGCGGAACCAATTCCCTCCAGGATCTGCTGCTGCCTTAGGTCCTGCTGCAGCTCGGTGTCCTGTGGTTCTTTTTGCTCTTGTTGCAGTCCCTGGCGCAAGCGGGCAAGCGGAGTTCTGGGCAACCCTTCCGATATGCGCGGCAAACCAGCCTCGGTAGCGCCCTCCACATCCGTGAACCACATCTTTTCGTCGTCCTCGCCTGGAAAACCCTTCGACCGAAGCAGGTGATCATGCTTGCTGCCTTGTCCATCCTGAATTTTGGTAACCCCTAACACGACTTCTGAAACCCCGAATTCAATGTGCCAACCAAAAACCCAAATTATGTATAAATAAATAAATTATGCTGAATGCTAGTGAATAATAATAAATAAATACCACTAAATAATATGCACCTAAATAATACGAATACTTATATTACCAGGCCAATAAATAATAATAATAAATAAATAGAAACAATAAACAATGAATAAATAAGAAATAAATAAGAAAATATATTAACGACCAACAAATACCTTAGGCTTAACAAATTCACACCAATAATTAGCTCCTATAAAAAAACAAGTCCCTCAAGACTAAATTTCTTTCTCTATTTTTTTTCCAGCCTCAATAAGGGGAGATGGAGCCGATCACCAGCCGGTAGACTCCGCGCCAGGCGTCTTGCGTTTACAATTTCGTCCGAATTCTCACTAAACAAGCCGCTCGTCAACTGGACTAACTTTCAGCTGTGCTGAAAGTCGCCAGTTAAGGACTTCGGCTGTTTGCAGGATCGCATAGGATTTCCTTTTGGACTTTGCGTTTTTCATTCAAGTCGCGGTGGCCCAGCAGCGCGTGACGACGTCACGGGTCACGACCACACGTTTAAGTTTTAAACCGATATGATATGAAAACGCAAATACCAAGAAAACCCAAGGATCTGCACAAATAAAACAACTACACTGTAACCCCAAAACAAAACATTCATTAAAATTACGTTAACAAAAAAAAATGTCCCTAATACCGATATCACAGTTTTATCACAGTTTTTGGTTTAACCTTTCGTGCTTATTGCACGGACGACCTGGGATGCGAATGCTTCGATTTCCTTCGAAGAGGATGTCACCGCCAAATCACAGCTAATCCCTGTGAACTGTGCCTCAAGAGCAATTGTCCTACCTCTAGTGGACACGCCTCCCTTTCTTCCTACAAAATTTAAACAACTTTTCTCTACCAGTGCGCATCCACGGTGCAATTGCATGTGTGTCATGCAAGCCACCGTTCGAGGGCTGGCTGGAGATATAAATATGCGAGACGCCGTCTACTCGGCTATCACATATTTTATTTGTTAAAATTGGGCGCCATATTGTTACGGAACTGCATCTTTCCCGGAGGGCAGCGCCGGCTAGCCACGGAATCCCAGGGCGGAGTGCCGCCTATGCCCTGCAGTCCGAACAATCGATTCCGACTCATCGGACGTCTAAAGTCACTAACTTGACGATTTACCATCTCTACCACAAATCAAAACAAAACAAAGTTACGTTTACATAAAAAAACTAAGACAATTGGACGAAATTGGTGGCTTCGATGTCCTTGCCACAACGCACCCACCCAACCTTGGGTGCCCCAAGAAAAATGTGGGAGGCACACCCCATCTCCGGCAGACCGGAGCCTATTCCTGCTGGATTACGACCGGCTCATCTCCCCGCCCAAGGTAATTCACACAACCATCTCGGTAGCTTGTTCACATTTAATTTTGGGCAAGATTAATAAATAAATACATTCATTATTGATTCCTACTAATAATCTACTCTTTTCGTTAGAAACACTTAAGGCCGATCTCAGACCGTCGCCCAGATGACAAGCGGTCAAAGCGGCAACAACCGAAGGGAAATTTTTTAGACGCTTAATATTACAAGTTTCAGGCAAAATCGCCGCACGGCACTAAATTGGAGGCGTTTGCCAATCGGGTCGCCTAATCCTGAGGAGCTCCAAGGGAAAAGAAGGGACGTGCTGAAAAGGTAAGTACGCTAAATAAATCCCACCAGTCATTAAATTTCGCGACCCAATTAAGACGTAGTTGGACGCGCGGCTACGGTTCGGAATTAAGACTCTAATTTTAGATTAGATTTCACAGTGAGTACTTGACAATCTTGACTGTATGATATCACAAAATAATAACTAAAACTTATTTATTGCAGAGTTCAACGTCGGATGTGGTTGAAACTGCAGCCAGAATAGAAAAATCACTAGCGGCGAAAACCAGCGCGAGTTCGCACGGAGCCCATTGGTCCGGAGGATAGTGCAGCGTCTGCGTAAGAGGGGCCGGGGGCAGTGCGTTCCCGGAACGGACTTACCGAGGGAATCTCCGTATGTGACCGTCTCGGAGGCAGTTGCTGGAGCTGCTGACGCCTGAGGCTGCTGCTGCTGCTGATCGCTGCTGCTGCTGCGACTGATACTGCTGACAGCTGCTTCTGCTGTGGCTAATGCTGCTGCGGAAGCTGATCGCTGTTGCTGCTGCGGCTAATGCTGCTGCTGCGGTTAATGCTGCTGTTGAACCAGGATCGCTGCTGCTGCTGCGGCTGATGCTGCTGCGGCTGAACCTGGATCACTGCTGCTGCTGGTGGACGGCGTGGTCCTCACAACCAGGTTAGGTTCGCCAGGTGAGTGTTCCCAAATCTTCTAAATTTCCGGGGCCCTTTAGATAGGGTCCCCGGCGGCTTCAATATCAAAAAAAAAACACTGTAATTTACAAGTTCCGGACTAATAAATAACCACTCACTTTGAATTATCCAAACACTTATTACGAATTTAAAGTCTTAGGCTTTTTCCCGACTACTACTTATTGCAGCAACTAAAGCAAAACCCTGACCTACACCAATGTCGCTCGCCATTTTCCCTCCCGCTCTCTCAAGATGGGTCAGCGAACGTATTCAAGGCTATTGAACCCAGTTAACCAGCGAACCGGGCTAAATTTAAATAGCTAGATCCTTTCCCGCTATCAATAGTCGGTGTCACCACCGAATCTTATCGATAGCAGGACCTGCTGACGTATCGTTCGTTTTAGTATTTTCCAGACGGCTTCAACTGAAAATGCAACACTGACTTCTGATGCATCAGTGACCAGTAATCATAGTGTTCTGCTGAATTCGCGCAATGTTCACATTTAATCATGATCGCAATAGATTAATGGTAGGCATACATACTCTAATAGCCTGATTCCGTTGCCGCATTAGTGAACTTTTTAAATGTGCCTAATTCCATTGGCGTTTTGGCACGAACTGGGTTTGTATACTTTTGAATTTTGACAAATCCAAAAGAAATTAATTAAAATTAATGAACATAATGCGATTTGCCAGCTTGGACGGCAAGGAAGAGAAGCTGATTGTGCTGTTATGACGGGTTTGCAATGGAGACCACCACAGTTTCTAAATTGGGTAAGGATCCCCGTATATGTGGGAGGTTTTATGCCAGAGATCCTGCAGTAATGCATAGTGGTACTGCGAGCAGAATTTGCAGCGTGCGCTCTAGGTTTCCGTCATTTCTATACAAAACAGATTTTATATTCAAAAGACATCAAAAATTGCGCCAACCTTAATAAATGCACGTTAGGCTTAATGCGTTTTAATGCGCCAATGGAATCAGGCTATAACATGGTCATACTTTTTTGTGTGAGTAACTTGCCGATTTAGGATGTCGAAGATTTTTAAAATATCGGAACCAATACTCTCTGTTTAATAGCCTGATTCCATTGCCGCATTAAAACGCATTTAGACAAATGCGCATTTATTTACACAGGGAATCCCATAAGGCTAAATGCCCAATTTCAAAGAAATGCGATTTTTAAATGCGATTAAAAACCATTCGCCCCGAACGTTTTTAGAAAAAATACCGGAAAATACCGATGTTTAACGATATTTTCTTCGTGCCACCACTACAACAGCTGTTTTCTATAAGCAAGGTTGGCGCAATTTTTGATGTCTTTTGAATTTAAAATCTATTTTGTATAAAAATGACTGAAACCTAGAGCGCACGCTGCAAATTCTGCTCGCAGTACCACAATGCATTACTGCTGGATCTCTGGCATTAAATAACTCTCACATATACGGGGATCCTTGCACTTTTTAGAAACTGTGGTGGTCTCCATTGCAAGCCCGTCAAAACAACGCAATCAGCTTCTCTTTTTTGTCGTCCAAGTTGGCAAATGTCTCGGTGGCAATATGGATATCCTGCTGAGCGTTACAGAGTTTAGTAAACTCACTCATGTTCATTAATTTTAATTAATTTCTTTCGGATTTGCAAAATTTAAAAGTATACAAGCCCAGATCAGCTGTTAGTGCCACTCAAATGTCGGAGTAGCATTTACTAAATGCTAATGCGCCAATGGAATCAGAAATAAAAAGTCCACTAATGCGGCAATGAAATCAGACTATAACAAATATAACAAAATGATATTAAGCAAATCGCTTGCAAATATCAATATATCCATATAATTGATACATTACCTTTTCCCAACAGAAAAATAATACAGTGCCCGACAATAACAAGAAATAGTCTATTTTATTCAAAATAAAATTTCATTCATACGATTTAATAACAACATAATGAGATTCACATTTAAGGATTATACATCTTTTATATGAGATTCGAGTTAATTTTATAAACCAAAATCTAAAGTTAAGTTAAAATGTAGCCTCACATTTTACCTAGTTAAGGTAAAAGGTATCAAAAATGTTACCTAGGTATGCACCTATGTATAAATATCTAGGTACGCTTTAACATTTGTTATATGCAAAGTTGGGATAGGTACTTGTTTGGATCTAGGTAAAATAAGTACCTAGGTAAGGTGAAATGTACACAATTTGAGAAGTATCTAGGTAATAAACAAGGTACAACAAAGGTTAAAAAAAATTCGAAACTATTTTTTGTTTAATTTTTACGAAGTTTTACATAAATTATGATATTGTGTATATGCTCTGGCAATTAAGTCTGGTAGAAACAAGTAAAAAGAAACATCTTATAACTTGCATATGCGGTGGATTTAACTTTTTTACAAACTGCTGTCCAATTACGTTATTTTATTACCATATTGGCGAACATATTGCACATTAAATTAAGTGGTATCAAGCTTATTTGGAAACAAAACATATATCAGTACCAAAATACCTAACAATACCTAAATTTTTAAGACAAATAAAAATCTTTACCTAGGAAAGATAAAACGTTGTCGCACTTTCCTTTACCTAGGTAAGCTATAAGGTATCAAAAATTCCTAAGTACGTACCTAGGTACAATTATTGTTACACCCCAACACTGGTTATATGAATATTCGTCATATGGCTGCGGGTGACACAAATGACGCATTAAATAGCGGACGCAAGCCGCTCTCAAAATTGTAAAATGTAAACAAAATATATATATCATTTTTCAAACGCTGTCGCACCCTCGTTAGTGGCACCATCGATATTTTCGAAGTTTTGGCAAAATATCGGCTTCAAACTTAAAAACATAAAAATAAAACAGAGATAATAGTGTCCATTATTTTAAAATTTAGAGGTCTTCTCTAACGGTTATGCTTGATGCAAAAGCTCCATTAATAAGGAGATCATACGAATCAAGTAATTGGTAATCCTCCAATTTGTTTTATGAACATAAGTTGTTCGACAACTTTTGAGTTTAGAGCAGTTCCTCAATCCGAAATCATTTCGCCTGCGTTTCAAAAAACATTCCCTCGGACTCAGTTGATGTCGCAGGTACGTACATATCTCTTTTAGCCAGCTTTGCAAGCAGTGGCTGGTCACTTTCAGTATTCTGCTAAAATAAAAATTTGTCTTAATATTTTTAATGAATACAGATTCAATTTGTTGAAATTAATATTATTATGAATTCAAACAAAAAAAAATCAATAAAATCCGTTCTTATGAACTTAAGGATTGTAGTAAGAAAATAAATATAAATTTAGTTCAGTAGACATTAAGCCAATGAAAAAAATTTATGTTTAATAAGTAAAGTAGCATAACATATGGTAAAAAAAATGTAGTATAGTCCAACAGCCATCGATTTTTGTTTAGCATTAATAGAATGTTTAAATGCTCTAGCTTTAAGAAGGCCCTTCTGTCTGACTTTATTTGGCCAGTTTCCTAAACATCCTCTCAGGTTCGGTCGAGTATGCACCAGATTTGGTCGTTCCACTCGATGTATCGATGTTGGCCAAAATTGTCTATGGTGACCAGTAGCACAGCCGCCATCGATAATACATATCTATACTATCATCAATTGTCTTACAGCTATAGAGGGTAGCATATTCTAATGCGAATAAAAAAATCCCCGTGCTCTTTTTAAAAGGATTTCCGGTGACACTAAGAAAACCAAATTCTACCAAGAATAAGCACTTACTTTTATATTTAATAAATCACAGAGATTTACCAACGTTTATTTTGTTGAAACCTAATTTATTGTGGTTGCTACTTATTAAAAACCCTTGACAAAGTTACGTACCATTTTCCCCATAACTATCGCATATGTGGAAAATTAACACGGCCATCTACGTATAATCCAATAAGCGAACCAGGGTTAATTTAAATTAGATCGCTCGCGTTATTCCCAAAAAGGTGGTGTAACTTTCTAAGGGTTTATTTTCCTACATACATAACTTATCTTTTCCCTCACCCAGTAAATCACAACTTGTAATGCAGCAAAAAGTTGCACAGTTTTAAATTTGTGGTGTTATACAAAAAAACTTATGTTTTTATTTTTTCCAAGTACACAAAAGAGACCTTTTAGCTAAGTAATCGTTTTAGTAGTACATTTAAACTTTCGTTAGCAATAGATCTAGGTATATCTATTGGTATCTTTTTACCCTTGGAGAGGGTATTATAATTTTAGTCAAAAATGTGCAACGCAGTGAATAAGCCATTTCCGACCCTATAAAAAACATATATTCTTGAACAGCATCACTAGAATAGTCGATATAGTCATGCCCGTCTCTCCGTTTCTTCGCAAACTAGTCTCTCAGTTTTAAAGATTTCTGCATGAAACTTTTCCTAAAGAAGTTTTCCTGTTTTGGGTAGTCGGAATGAGCCGGATTGGACGAATATAACAGAATAACGTTTAAAATTTGGCTTAAATATCATTTGGCTGGAAATATTACAAAAAAAAAATTTTATACAAATTGAAACTTCTCTATGTTTCACTTTTTATTTATTTCTTTTGGATATAGTAATGGTTTAATAGTTCTAAATTACGCTTTTTATTTAACGCAATTTGGAAAACGATTTTATATACATAGCTATCAAAGGAACGATGGAATAATTGAGCTGAAAATCATCATTAAAGAATAGTTAATTTTTACAATAGCTGAGAGGGTAAATAAACTTTGGCTTGCCAAAGTCTGCTTCTTTTCTGGTTTTGTTAAATGTTATGATTTTTGGTAAGACTTTTATTTTCCGTAGAAAAATCAAAACAAAGAACAGGAAGTTCTTCTAAGACTCGAATTATTGTCAAGTGTAAGTCCACTTTATCTTGTTAACCCGTAGAGGCCAAAGAAGAGCGCCTTTTTTTTTTTGCAAAATGAAAACAGCGCACATAAAATTGACTACATAAAAAACTTGGGCAATATTTGAGGAAATAAGAAACACATTTTACATTATTAAAAAAGAAAATTTGATTGACTTATACCGGTTCTCGCAAGCCGTGTCGCCGTTGACATCGATATTGGCGTAGAAGATCCTGACCGCAATTTTCATCTGAAATCGTAAAGTCAAACATTAATCCACTGAAGAGGGCTTTGAGAGTCGATTTTCTACGATTTGAGAAAAATGTCAACATTTCCCATACAACTTTGGTTTGGAAAAAAAAATTTTCGCATAAGTTTTTCATTATTGTTGCGCTAAAAATGGTCAAAAAATTATTTTTTCTTGTCCGTGGATGACAAAAAAAATTTAGATGAAGAAAATCGGCTCACTACATTATTTTGCAGTCGTCTACGCCAATTTGAATAACTTGGTTTTGAGAAAACGCCGTTTAAAATTTGCGGTCAAGAAAAATGTAACTTAGGCGTCAACATAAGTCAAGGGCCATAACTTCCATAATTTATAAGATCGGCTTTTGAAATTTTGTCAGAATTTTCTTAAAGCATATACTTATCGATTAAGACTGTCAAAAATCGATTTTTTTGAAACATCCTTTACAGTGTATCTTTTTAAAAAAAAAAATCAGCATTTAGCCAACAGGGAATCCCATGAGGCTAAATGCCGCATTTAATAGCCTGATTCCATTGCGCATTTGGCACTTACACAGGAATCCCATAAGGCTAAATGCCGCATTTAATAGCCTGATTCCATTGCCGCATTAAAACGCATTTAGCCAAATGCGCATTTATTTACACAGGGAATCCCATAAGGCTAAATGCCGCATTTAAAATAAATGCGATCTTAAATGCGATTAAAAACCATTCGCCCCGAAAGTTTTTAGAAAAAATACTGGAAAATACCGATGTTTAACGATATTTTGTTCGTGCCACCACTACAACAGCTGTTTTCTATAATCAAGGTTGGCGCAATTTTTGATGTCTTTATTCAAAAGTCTATTCCGTATAAAAATGACTGAAACCTAGAGCGCACGCTGCAAATTCTGCTCGCAGTACCACAATGCATTACTGCTGGATCTCTGGCATAAAATTACTCCCACATATACGGGGATCCTTGCCTTTTTTAGAAACTGTGGTGGCCTCCATTGCAAACCCGTCATAACAACGCAATCAGCTTCTCTTCTTTGTCGTCCAAGTTGGCAAATGTCTCGGTGGCAATATGGATATCCTGCTGAGCGTTACAGAGTTTAGTAAACTCACTCATGTTCATTAATTTTAATTAATTTCTTTCGGATTTGCAAAATTTAAAAGTATACAAGCACAGATCAGCTGTTAGTACCACTCACATGTTAGTGCCACTCACATTTACTAAATGCTTATGCGCCAATGGAATCAGGCACATTTAAAAAGTCCACTAATGCGGCAATGGAATCATGCTATTAGTCTTCTTGAGTGGGTCCACCTACAATAACATACGAACTTTTGGATTTGTTGGAAACGGTCAATTTGGGCCAATTTAAAAAGTAATTTTTTCACACAAAAAAACAATTGTTTTTTCAAACCTACGCCATTTTGTAATTATTTGATATTTAGCTTTTATTATGTTTTTGAACTTTTCGATTTGATCCACTTGACCGGAATCATATCAGTTATGTCCCGTTACTTCTCAAAATTTTTGTTAAACGAAAATCTTAATATAAAGTTGAAAACTTACCTTATTATGTGCAAAAAATTTTAAAAAAATTAAGTACTTTATTTAAAAAAAAAATCTAAAAATTTCCTCAGTTTCTGTGAGTTATACCCTAATTCCATTGGCGCATTAAAACGCATTTAGCCTAATGCGCATTTATTTACACAGGAAATCCCATAAGGCTAAATGCCGCATTTAAAATAAATGCGATTATTAAATGCGATTTAAAACCAGTCGCCCCGAACGTTTTTAGAATAAATACCGGAAAATACCGATTTTTAATGATATGTTGTTCGTGCCACCACTACAACAGATGTTTTCTATATGCAAGGTTGGCGCAATTTTTGATGTCTTTTGAATATAAAATCTGTTTTGTATTGAAATGACTAAAACCTAGAGCGCACGCTGCAAATTCTGCTCGCAGTACCACTATGCATTACTGCAGGATCTCCGGCATAATACGGGGATCCTTGCCCTTTTTAGAAACTGTGGTGGTCTCCATTGCAAACCCGTCATAGCAGCGCAATCAGCTTCTCTTCCTTGCCGTCCAAGTTGGCAAATGCCTCGGTCGTATTATGGGTGTCCTGCTGAGCATTACAGAGTTTAAACTCACTCATGTTCATTAATTTTAATTAATTTCTTTTGGATTTGGCAAAATTCAAAAGTAAACAAACCCAGTTCGTGCCACTCAGTTGCAGTTCGTGTCGGAGTAGCATTAGCTAAATGCTAATGCGCCAATGGAATCAGGCACATTTAAAATGTCCACTGATGCGGCAATGGAATCAGGCTATTACACTGGAACAGCCCCTTATCGGTATCGAAATAGGAAACTCGTGTTAGCGTTCCAGAGCTATAAACAATGCGTTGACGAGCCAGACAACTGAAGGAGCACTTTTCCAATTCTGATATGATTTCTTTCTACACAAAGTTCCTTAGGATAATTTTTAAATGCTCGTGCGTTGCCAAAAATCCCTCTAAAACCTCTTTCAGAAAGTAAAGTCAAAAATGGATTAGCGAACTTCGCTAAGCGAAGCTGGCAATAGCGCTAGACGATTCTCCTAAAGCACGGTTAAAAGCAGAATGAGTTGGCATTTAGGAAATTTTTCCTCCGACTACTCCAGATGGTTAAGATATTTTTGTATAAGCTTTGTTGCTTCTTGTTGTATAGTTTTTTCTCTTGAGTTCTGAAAGATTAAGCCGGGTCGGTAAGTAAATTAATCAGTACTGCTCGTGACTTTTACCACTAACCATACATGTTGTATGTGCTGTATGGCTAGTGCTTTTACTTAATCCCGCTTTGGTTGCTCTCCCTGCTTCTCCATATCTACATATATCGCCGCTCTCTCGCTCATGTCTAAGACACGTTAACAGCTCAGCTACGCTAGGTAGTTTCTTTCTGAGCGTTACCACTGACAGTTTGCAAAGATCGCTCGCTCTTGGCCAGTTAACCGTTGTGTATGTGGCCTTTTCTTGTACATATTGGGTCTGTATTTATATCATGTTTGTATGTACAAATGTGTATACTACCATCAACCCTTGGATTTTCCTCTTAATGCCAGCGGTCTTTCGCTACCTGAAGCAAAACAAAGATCCGTCCATAAAGGTGTAAATGTATAAGGTCTACATCAACTATCGACGGTGTCAAATGCAAGAATAGAAAATTTGAAAAAATAACGCAAAAGTGTTTGTTGTAAATAACACAGTGCAGATTAATACATCTGCACGTGCTGAAGAAAACCCCATGCAAACAGTTCTAATGTAAGTAGAAGACTGTGTAGCTATGTAAATATGTATGTATATTTCTAGTCGATTTTCTCTACCTGTTTTGCAAAACCTTTTAAATAAGGGAATATAAATTTGTATTACAAAAATAATGCATGTTTAATTCATCAAAAAGGTCCACCGCAGTCAGAAAATTCAAAGTCTATAAAAAAATGTTTTTATCACATATTTTTTATTTGGAATCTAATACATTTAACAAATATAAACCTATTATACAACGACTCATAATACATTTTAAAATATTTCAATGCAAAGTCAAAAAAGTCTAAATATAAGGTTTGAACATTTTTTGTACGTTTTGTTTTAATGCATTTTCATCTTGGTTTATATTTAGAAAATATAATAAATATCTATGTAAAAGACACTATGCCATTTCTAATTAGGGTAAATTTTTTACCAGCTGATCTGTTTCTATCACTGTAGCGTGCGACAGTAAAAAAAAACAACATCGTTGCATCCAATGAGCATTAATTATTGGGCCCACCCATATACATATTTTAAATAATTTGTTCAAAGAAAATCTGGTGGTTTTTATAGTCTTAATTTTTATAATTAATAGAAAAGTGGTACAAACATTAAAAAAGTTAATTTTTTTTAATTTATCAATATATATGAAAATATATGTTTTAATTATGTATCTAAATTTTTAGCGGAGAAAAGCTATGTGATCATACATAGATAGATAAATATAGTAACCGTTTTCTTTCGCACATATGACAAACGACTTTTACAAACAACGTCCTTAAAAAAAGGCAGCTCGTGCGTCGGGACCACCTTGTATAGTTGCACCATGCCCCGGCGCTTCGTGTGCATTCGGGTTTTTTCTCTCTCATGAGAGTTCGGTCGTTCAGATGCAAAGAGGCGCATTTTGATGAAGGTTGCCCTGCGCTTGAATTGGTCTTTGTATGTATGCGTGATCATGCATTCTCATACTCGGGTGCATGAGTGCGTTTATTTCATTTCGACGCATCAAGAATATTTTTTCTTTTGCTACTTTTCATACTTGGTAAGAATAAGAATAAGAATTTTTTTTTCTTTTGCTACTTTTCATACTTGGTATCCTAACAATATGGGCTTATTTACTTTTGGGTTAATGATAAAAATAAGAATATTATATGTTATAATATATTTTTTTATAGATTTTATTTTTGTTTACAAATTCAAATCAGTGGTAGCAGTAACATGTTTTACATATATGTATGTATGTATTCGAATTTATAGAAATCAGTCCACTGAGATGGGAACAGGGCATATCGCAGTCTTGTCACTTGAAACACCGACTGCTCTTCAGTGGTTGAGAAAACTTCAAACAAAATCAGCTTTTATTGTTTTGCGAGCGGTTGGTGCCTGCATACCATACCGACGATTGCTTTTTAGGGTAGCGGGCAGAAACAAAAACAGCTGTTTGGCTTTTGCTTTGTTTACATTTTTTAGGATGTGGTTGGAGCCAGAATTAATACAAAAGTGCGGCAAATTTGAAAATCAAAAAACGATTGGCTACACGAAATTTTAATTACATCTTATGCACGTCTAATTAGATACTAAAAAATAATAAAAAGAATATGAAAATAGTCACATGCGACAGCGAATCATTTAGAAAAATACCTTACATTTTTAAGTCAAACAAATAATATTATTAAGAACAATCAATGCATAACATATACAAATTAATTGCATCAAAATTTTCGAAAGCAATCTTTGTACTAAAATCCATGTCTGTCTGTGTAGCGTGCGAATGCCTTAGATTTTTGTGATTATCTTAATATCGAAACATTTCCCAATTTGAGTCTTAGCACGAACTATAAGTTATGCCTTTTTTTAGTTTGAATGGTTTAGAGAGGGCGGGTCAAATTTAAGAAAAAACTTTCGCTCCGTAGGCATAACTATAAATTATTTGGTTTTTATAGCTTAAGAGGCCCCGATTTTCATACGGACGAGCCGAAAATCACCTTCTTCTAGCTGTTACGCAGGGCAAATAATTTTTTAATCAAAATACAAAAAAAAAAAAATATGTATGTAAATATAAAAATATAATAACAGGAAGGAAATCTGTAGTCGAGAGGCACAAATATCAAATATTCTTTACTCTGACTGCCTTTATAGCTATACTGAAAACTAAGCTCACTTCCAGTTATAAAAATAAGGACGCTTCAAAAGTATTCGAAAACCTCAAAGTTAATTTTTTTTAATTTTTTGTTTGAGAATCACATGAGTAACGTTTGCCCACATTATGCCCACCTTTTAGATTTTACAATAAATAAAACCTTTGGAAATACAAAAATTTTCAGTTTTGCCCGATTTGAAAACAATATTTATTTTTGTGAAAAAGAACAACACGCTTGCCGCAAAAAAAAAAAAACCCCATAAAAATTAAATCTTTCAGCAAAAAGGATTTATAATATTTGTTAATTCTCCGTAACAATTTGTTTTCGAAAAGCTTAAGTTTATTTATTATTAGCTTAATAAATTTTATTAAGAGGTCGGCAAACAAATTTTAAATTATTGAATTATGAGGTTGGCCGACATGGACATTTTTTGTTATATTTAATTTTATTTAAATCGGACGACTATATCATATAGTTCCATATTTAACAAGAGAAATGCAAACTTCGGCAAGCCAAAGTTTAAATACCCTTTCAGCTATTACAAAAATTAAATATTCTTAAAAACATTTAAATTTCGATTTATATTAAATTTATTTATTTAAAAACATTGAACCTATGATGATTTTCAATTGTTCGATCGTTCCTATGGCAGCTATATGATAGGATATATGATATACCGGCAATCTAAACTGTCAAATTATTACTATGTCCAAAATAATTTAAAAAAGCGAGGACGGAAGCTAGCCTCGGCTAGCCGAAGTTTTAATCTTGCAGACTTTGCGAAAATTGCTAAAATTAAAAAATTAGCACGAAGAATAACCAAAGTGTAACAATTATACCAATGGAAACTATAAGACTTACACGTCCGATCGGCAAGCGCTTTTACCCTGATCAGTGTTAGGGTGTCTCTAGATAATTGTACCTAAGTATGTACCTAGGTACCCAAATTGTGTACCTTTTACCTTACCTAAGTAGCTATTTTTACAAATACTTTGCACCTTACCTAGATCCCAAAAACTAGTATCTTTCCCAGCACTGACCCTGATCAACCCTAAGAAAAACCCAATTTATTTTAATGAAGTGCCAAAGAATAATACGGTGAAATCGGTTCAAATTAGATGTTTTCAGGATATTTGGCGCAGTGTACAAGCTATTGACATCAATTTTTCCAAATATTATTTATGTACGCATACCTAGATCAATGCAAAAGCGGTTGCCGATTGGACGTCTATATCATATATACAAGTAAACAAGTTACCCTCGCGCTGAGCTAGCCGGTGAATTGCTGTGATATACTGTCGCCCGCTTCCAATGCGAGAGCAGCATTATCACGTATGCTAAGTCGGCTGGCCGACTACACTTGGTAGCTTATGCTCATTTCTTTATCTCTCTCTCTCTCTCTTAGCATAATCTCCCTTCATAGCATAGTTTAAGTATACTTATTTTTGTAACCTAGTTTTAGTTGTACTTGGCACGTAAAGCAAGCAGAAGCTTGAAATAAACTTCTACACCAGCTATAGCTGATATTCTTATTTATTGTTGCTAAGCCACAAGGCTAGTAACTGGTACCCAGATACCCAACCTAATCTTCATTTCCTTGCTCCACAACTGGAGCGGCTTCGACAGTGGATACCCCGGCAACTCCCTTGCAGGAGCTGGCAAGTTGGTCCATACCCTGACTGGAGTCGGACAGCAGCCGTGACGAAAAGGTCCCCTGGCACCTTATATGTAGAAGCTTTACTGGCGCCCAACACTTATTACCCACACCTAGAGAAGAAATTGTAAGTGATTTGTTCTGAAACAGAACTTTTAATCGCTCAAATTTTTCAATAAAGGTCACATAAAAGCACAAATCGTCGTACGCATGCGTGGATCACATTTTTTTTTTAAAGCAGCAGCGTGGAAACGTACAGTTTAGTGTCTTCGAGGCAGTTCGAAAAGCTCTTGCAATTCGCCGCTCTTTCCCCTTATCTTTAATTTGCTTCGTTCTCTTTTTTTGTGTTAAAGAAACAGCGATTTTCATGAGCTGGGTTGATTCGTATAGAGAGGTTAGGAGCGAGTACGAAACTGACGATAGTGTTGAATTGGAAGTTAATAAAAATTTGGAAAAAAAAGCCAACATGAACGCTAACGAGGTGAAAGCGCTTTTGGCCAATGCCTTAGCCAATCAAGAGGCAATCTTTCAGGCGCGTTTAAATAAAATGCAAAGGCAATTGAATGAATTACGTGTGGAGGAGCCACATGTTGAAACGTACCAACGGATTTCAGTAGACCCAGCGGTGAGGTGCGACATCCCGCTTGACATTATCAAATCTATC